GGGAGGCCTGGCAGGGCTGTAGGAAGGGAAGGGGGTTGAGTGGAGGACCAGGATGGATGTGGCAGATACTGGAGCTGTGCTGGAAGTGGAGGGAAGCTCCTTCAAGGGCCCAGCTGGCAAAAATCATTTGTGATGCAAAAATATGGATTTGGGACAAATAAAGGAAGGGTCTGAAATGGAGAGCAAGAAGGCAACGCAAGTGGGAATGCGTGGACATGAGGAGAGCCATGAAGCAGGGAGGGTTGTAGGGTGCTGTAAGGCACCGAGCGCATCGGGGCGGGGAACCTGCTGCCCGGCTGTCGCTACAAAGCACTCGACTTCAAAGGACGTGCTCGAGCTCCCCAGGAGGATACGGTGTCCTGGCTGAGGGCTGAGCAGGGATGGATGTGCCTCTGCACAGCTCTCCCGGAATCCGCAGCAGGAAAATCAGCTCTCCTAAGTAAATGGACACCAGGAGTTATGTTTCTCCCCTCCTCTGCCAGACTCTCCTGGGGATTGGGGGGTTCGCCACACCACCAGTTCCCCCTAAACGTTCTGCAGGTGCCGAGCCCCGCAACGGGATGCAGCCTGAAGCATCCGATTGGTGCCTCCGTCCCAGCTCCCAGGACACAGGGCAGAACGGGAAAGGGAGCCTAGCCACAAACCCAGCGTGGTCCCCAGCCCCCCTCACGCCCCTTGTGCTCTTCAAACCTCTCTGATCTTAATTTACCTTTGATCTCACAGCACTTTGCAAAATACATTATTTAATCGCCATTCAGCCTCCGATCGCTGGGACCATTTTGCCAACCAGAAGGGAAACGTTCTTTCTACTATTTCAATATATTACAAATAACCTTGCAAATACCCATGATGACAGACACGCACCAAGAGAGACAGCGAGGCAGACACACGATTCTCTAGGTAAAACAACCGGGAAAAAAAAAAAAAAAAAGGGTCTCATAATCTCCGGTAACATGGAAAAAAAAAAATAATCCCAGCTTCATTCACAACCAGCAGATCCACTACATGAAATACGAGTCTTGCAGCAGCAGCAGGGCTGTAGCACCTTAGCTCGTTCCGAAGGCACAGCCATGCAGCCCGGAGGCAGAGGGTGCCCATTTTTCCCTGCTCAGGGAAGGCAGAAGGAAAGATTTCCCAAAAATTTCCCAAATTTTCTCAGCCGTTTCCCAAGTGGCAAGACCAGGCACCGTACCAGCCCCCACCCCCGCCAAACAGGGACGGGAAACACACGGCACGACCGAAACACACCGCAACTTCTCCACTGCGTTTTCCATCCCATTAACGACTATCGATTAAAGGCAGCGGAGCGGCTGAGATTTTGCGGGATTCG